TGCTACAGGCCAGCACTGGTGTGCGAAATCACGTCTATATACATGTGATTTTGTAGTTCTGGGCAGGGGGCGCGCACGTGGCCATTAGCGGCCTTGGCTGGCAGTGCCAAGTATTAGCTCCTGCAAGCTGCATACAAAGCAGTGTGCTTACAGTGAAGCACACACACAGACCAAGTAGTGAAACAGTACACAGTTAACCCTTTCACGCACGCCCCACATGTTAACCCCTTCCTGCCCAGTGCCATTAGTACAGTGTCAGTGCTTTTTATTAGCACTGATCACTGTATTGGTGTCATTGGGGATGTCAGTGACACTAAGTCAGTTCCCCCCCGTGTTAGAATGCCTGCCACAGTCTCGCTGATTGCTGCCAGTACTAGTATAAAAAAAAATTAAAAATTCCAGTGTGTATATGCCGACATTTGTAAACGCTATAACTTATTACTGCAGAACACATTTTGGACTAAATTTATGATGGAATTAGATTTTTAACGTTTTTTTTACTGGACATGTTTAACCATTAGCCACCCGGCCAATGGCCGTTTGGCGGCTTCAGAAGTGCTGCGGCATTCCGGGTGCACGCCATTTGGAGTGCACGCCACCCGCACATGCGCAGTTTGCGGTAATGCAGAGCCTCGCAGCGGCGCGATCTGTCACCCGCCGTGTACCTCGGACACGGCCGATGACAGATCTGAGTACCGGCCCCTGTTGCTGGTACCATGTGACCTGCTGTGACCAATCACAGCAGGTCACATGACAGTTGTATACAATGGATGGCTTCATTCATGCCATCCATTGTATACTACTGCCTAGCTGTGAATGGTCACAGCTAATCACATGCACATGTCATGTGATTAGCTGTGACCAAATCACAGCTAAGCACAAAAAAAAAAAACCTGAATGAATCAATTTCATTCAGGTAAATGCTTGCTTATAGCAAAGTAATTCTTTGCTATAAGCAAATTGTGTAAAAAAAAAAAAAAAAAAATACTGATCACTTCCCCAAAGTAGTACAATGTTACTATGGTAACATTGTACTACTTTGGTCATAGTACAATATGAAAAAAAAAAATCTTTAAAAAAAAATAAAAAAGTAATAAAAATTATTAAAAATAAAAAAAAATAAAAAAATATATATTTTTTTTTTTTCATACTGTCACCAGTCAGTGTCCCTGTTCACCGCCATGCCAGTTATATGATGATGCTGTACTGCACTGGTGACAGTATGTAAAAAAAAAAATAGTGAAAATAATTTTTTTTAATTTTTTTATTTTCCGAAAAATTATGACAAAAAAAATACAACTTCAAAAAACTCGCCATTCCTCTTATGAAGTACGTCGGACTGTCTACTCTGCAAAAAGGGGTCATTTGGGGGATATCTGTACTGTTCTGACATTCTTGGACCTCAAGAAATTAGATGGCTGTCAGTACTTCAGGATTGATCAATTTTCAGATCTATACCATAGTTTGTAAACTCTATAACTTTCCTACAAACTAAATAATACATCCTAATTTGGGTTATTTTCACCAAAGACATGTAGCAGAATACATCTCGGCCTAATTTTATGAAGAACAATTATTTATTTGTAAACTTTTATAACAGAAACAAAGAAAAACGTGTTTTTTTTCAAAATTTTTGGTCTTTTTTTGTTAATTTAGCAAAAAATAAAAACCCCAGCAGTGATTAAATACCACCAAAAGAAAGCTCTAGTTGTGTGAAGACAATGATAAAATTTTAGTTTGGGTACAATGTTGTATGACCGCGCAATTGTCATTCAAAGTGTGAGAGCGCTGAAACGTGAAAAATGGCCTGGGCAGGAAGGTGTAAAATTGCACGGTATTGAAATGGTTAATAGCAAAAAGTCAAAAATATATTTTTTTTTTTCTCAATATTGTCAGTCTTTTTTTGTTTATAGCGGAAACCAAAAAATCAAACACCACCAAAAGGAAGCTCTATTTGTGGGAAAAAAAGGACATAAATTTCATTTGCGTGCAGTGTTGCATGACCATGCAATTGTCAGTTAAAATAACGCAGCGCCGTATCGCAAAAAATGGCCTGGTCAGGAAGAGGGGTAAATCCTCTGGAAGTGCTTAACCTCCCTGGCGGTATTCCCGAGTGTAGCTCGGGGTAAAGTTTCAGTACCACAAGCGGTAACCAAGAGCTACACTAGGGAATACCATGCAGCGTTGCTCAGGGATTCCCTGCAGCACTTACCTTGTCCTGTGCTCCCCGCGATGTGTCCCCTGTAGCATCCCCGGCCATCTCCTCCGGCCGATGCCGGCATCCATCTTCCGTGTTGCGGTCCCTGAGAGCATCGAGACAATTTGGGGCCGGAACCGGCAGGAAATTTGAAAATTTTTCACAACTGACATTCACTAATACACTAAAATCACATAGTAAAACATTCCTGTATCAAAGCATTTCACATACATTTTGTCCCTAGTGCTTTGTCCTGTGCCCTGCCTGCATTTTTACTGTTCTTTCTGCCTGGAAACTGAGAAATGTATTACTAAGGACATATTCTCCTGATGCTAGATTTATACAACATTAATTTATGTGACATCTCCCAGCGCTGCATCCTATGTTTGTCTATTGGTTTTCACATTGGAGGTCTTTGAGGTTTTCCTCTGGATGCTGGCTGCTTTCCATCTTTTTATTACCCAGCGCTCATATATCATTATCATTTCTGGAAACTGAGATGTCCATGGCGTCCAAAAAGCTTTACTTTAGGTCAAAAGCGGTTTTAGACCAGCTAGAGAACAGCGATAGTAAATCAGAACCACTTGCAGAATTGAGTGATAATGATTCATGGTGAAATTCGTCATCAGACACTGAAACCGATTCTGCGACTGAGCTCAGCGATGTGTGAACTTGGCCCTATATTTCAGATTTCAGTGTTTTTGGTTTGATTATATTATTGAATTAAATGTATTATTATATTATTTTTTATGATTATTTATTAAATTATAATTTATGATTTTGTGTTTCACGTTTTAGCATACCTGGGATGTTTACTAGACTCTTGTTAGGACAGATTTCAGAGAGTTATTCCTAAAAATTACAGGCTTACAATAAAAAAACGACATATTTCCATGCAAAAAAATGTACCGCTCTCAGCACAAAAATATGGACATAATTATACCGCTAGGGAGGTTAATGAACTTGGATGAAAAATGGTTCAATCTTAAACCCCGTTGGTGGTGGCAGGAAAGAGTTTTGATAAGTTAAAAAAAAAACTTTTAGATGCGTTTCTTAGCAAACACAGGGATATGGAAAACAGTATACACACACATATTCTCAGATTGAACTGGATGGAACATTGGGTACAATTCACTAAAGCTTGTCCATGAGTTAAGTCAGTCACATGACCACATATTGCATGCGATACTGAAAATTTCAATTTACTATTGCTAAAAATACCAAAAATAGCAAAAACACTTGGTAAATACCTCATAAAAAGACCTTAAAGTCAATTCACAAAAGGAAATAAATAATTAAATGCATGCTGTAATTAAGTAGTAGTCCAGGCATGCGGTATGTACTTGTATCTGTCAGTACTGTCATGGGTTGTTAAGGAATGGGTGGCCGCGAAGTCCTTAACAACCTATGAGTCATCATCAGCTGTCAGCAGGGTTCCCCACTGACAGCTGAATGTAAATAAAAACATTTGCCAGCAATTAAAAAATAACTTAAAAAAGGAGTCTGGTATGGTTTTTGAGAGGAACCCCCACACCAAAATTTTAAAAAATGATGTGGGGACCCCCCCAAAATACATATCAGACCCTTATCTGAGCATGCAGCCCGGTAGATCAGGAAAGGGAGGGGACAAGCAAGGGCCCCCCTCCTGAACCATGCTAGGGCACATGCCCTCAACATGGGGGTGGTGGTTTGGGGCAGGAGGTCCTCTTCCCCAAAACCCTGGCCGGTGGTTGTGGGGGCCTGCAGGCAGGGGAGGGCATATCAGAATCTGGAAGCGCCCTTTAGCCCCCAGATCCCAGCCCCCCCCCAATGTGAACGAGTATGGGGTACATGGTACCACTACCCATTCACAAAAAAAAACTGCAGTGTGAAATAAGACAGCAGACTGTCTTTGACAAGTCCTTTATTAAAAATAAAAGAATGTAGAATCAAAGTAGATCCAACATCAATCACGATGCCCACCAGTACCTGGAAAAAAAAAGGCTCCGCTCTACACACTGGCTCCAACCGTCTGACTGCTCCACTGGCTTGACACTTCTTAAATATCATCAACCAAGGCATTCTGGGTCAATGCTGTCAGACGGGGGCAGGGTCACATGCGTGATATCACTGGATGGCTCCGCCCCTTACATATTTAAGAACTGTCAAGCCCAGTAGAGCAGTCAGATGGCTGGAGCCAGCGTCAAGAGCAGAGACTTTTTTTTCGGGTAGCGCCGCAGGTGGGCATCGTGATTAACTTTGGATCTACTTCGGGGGCATTCTTTTATTTTCCTTCTTTTAATAAAGGGCTTTCTTCTGTCTTTTTCACACTCAGTTTTTTTTTGTGTGAATGGGTAGCGGTACCATGTACCTCATACTCATTCACATAAAAGGGGTCCGGGATCTGGGGTGGGAGCCACCACCATGTTAAGGGCATGTGGCCTGGTATGGTTTAGAAAGGTGGGGCGCTCGCTTGTCCCCCCTTTCCTGACCTGCCTGGCTGCATGCTCGTATAAGGGTCTGGCATGGATTTTTGGGGGGACCACACACCATTTTTTTTACATTTTGGCCTGGGGGTTCCCCTCAAAATCCATACCAGACCTGAAGGGCTTGGTATGGATGGAGGGACCCCATGCTATTTTTTAAATTGCCGGAAAATCTCTCTTTTACATTCAGCTGTTTAGTGGGGAGCCCGCCATATAGTAAAATGACAGACGCAAGGCGGTTCTTTTGTTCTGGGAGGACGTCATATGACGTCCTCCCATTCTAACCGCGCATGTGCGGCTCTGGGAGCGCACAGCATGGCGATCGGCGGTGCGCTGTGTCCCTCGGACCCAGCGGATCACCGATCAATGGAAAGAGCCAAAGATGTCGGCTCGGTCATGTGATCAGCTATGTCCAATCGCAGCTGATCACATGTAAACAGGGAAATGCCAGTTATCGGCATTTCTTTCCTCACGAGCTGTCACGCTGACAGCTCGTGAGGAGGGCTGGTAATCGGCATTCCTCGGAGGGGACATGTACACAGATCATCAGAGCACTGATGATCAGTGTACCCTGATGATCTGTGTAGCCCCAGCAGTGCCACCTGTCAGTGTTCATCAGTGCCAGCTGGCAGTGCTCATCCATGCCACCTACCAGTGCCCATCAGTGCCACATATCAGTGCCTACCAGTGCACATCAATGCCACATATCAGTGCCCATCTGAGCTGCCTTTTAGTGTCACCCATCAGTGCTGCCAATCAGTGCCACCTATCAGTGCCAGACAGTGCCACCTATCAGTGCCAGTCAGTGCCGCCTATCAGTGTGCATCAGTGCCGCCTGTCAGTACCCATCAGTGCTGCATATCAGTGCCGTCTAACAGTGCCAGTCAGTGCCACCTAACAGTGCCAGTCAGTGCCGCCTATCAGTGAAACCAATCGGCGCCATATATGAGTGCTGCCTTTCAGTGCCCATCAGTGATGCCTGTCAATGCCCATCAGTGCCACCTACCAGTTCCCAGCAGTGCCACCTATCAGTGTTTATCAGTGCAGCCTATCAGTGCCCATCACTGCAGCCTCATTAGCGCACATCAGTGAAGGAGAAAAATCACTTATTTACAAATTTTATAACAAAAACTAAGAAAAAACTTTTTTTTTCAAAATTTTCAGTGGTTTTTGGTTGGTTTAAGACAAAATAAAAAACCCAGAGGTGATTAAATACCACCAAAATAAAGCTCTATCACAAAAAATGATAAAAATGTCATATGGGTAGTGTTGCATGACCGCGCAATTGTCATTCAAAGTGTGACAGCACTGAAAGCTGGAAATTGGCCTGGGCAGGAAGGGGGCATAAGTGCCCTGTAGGCTAGTGGTTAATTATTGTTAATGGTGCTAGTCTTAGTAAATAGATAGGAAGATATATTGTGTTTAATAGGGATGCACCGAAATTTTGGTGGCTGAAAAGTTTCGGCCGAAAACAACCCTTTTGGCCGTCATCCGATATGAAAAAAAGCACTGATGCAGGTACCGAAAAAACCCTGCCCCTTGCTTCCACCCCTCGCTGCTGCCCGCCGCTGCTGGTGGGTAGTTCTCAGCCTTACCTGAGAAACCATCAAACGATTCCAGGGCTGGGCATACAGATGAGTGGCCTCCACTCATCTCTATGCCCTTGGAGGACCGGAGTGATGTCACTTCCGGTTCCGGCCATTTATTATTTTTTTTAAAGCATTAGATCAAAGCTTTTTTTTGACCTAATGCTTTACATTTCAGAGGAAAGATGTGGGGTCTTACTGACCCCACATCTCTCCATAAAGAGGATTTGTCACTAATTATTTCTATCACAAGGGATACATGCATGCCTTGTGATAAGAATAAAAGTGATTAAAAAATGTACAGTGAAAAAAAAAAACCTGTTAAATAAATAAAACTGGAGGAGAGGTTTTCTCAGCTAAGCACACTCTCCTGCCCACATACCTGAGCTAAGGCCAGATGGATTCCAGGAATTAACTACTACATGGAGCATCTACCTTTTCTCAAGATGGCAGCAACTAGAAATACTAGTAGGGGTGTTTTTTCAAAGTGATTTCTCAATAAAATAAAGCATGGAGACATGAATGGATGGGAGAGTTTGCTGTGAATATTATGTATTAAACAGAGTTTTCAGTTTGTGGTGATCAGATACATGTCTTTTGTACATAGGGAATGCTTAGGACAAGCGTACTGTTGCTGTAGTTAACATGTACATAATTATTAAAGGAATGTGGCTTAAGGGCTAGGTTCACCTTTTACATAATTGGTCAAAGCAGACAAGAGGCCCCTGTAATTTAAAATCCACCATGCCTTTGTAAAAATATTGTTTACTGCAAGTGCCATACCTGTAGGCATTTTCTATCACTCATGAACCCTGGCCTGAAATGCTCCCCATGCATACAGTCTTGCATCTTGGCCTATTTCCAGGACACAGCAGTCGTTCCTGATTCATGTGCGCATGGCTCTGATTGCAGCAAAAATTCTCCAGCTGCATGTCCCCACCAATATTCTCACACTGTTCTGTATGTAAATGGATAGAAAACTGGCTAAAAGACTGTATTGGAAGAGTAGTGGTTAATGATTCATACTCTGAATGGTCTGGGGTCATCAGTGGTGTACCCCAAGGTTCAGTGTTGGGACCCTTACTTTTTTAATATATTTATAAATGATATAGGGTCCGGGATCAAAAATTCTATTTCAGTCTTTGCAGATGACACCAAGCTGTGCAGTGGAATAACGTCCTTACAAGATATCTTCAACTTACAAGCCGACCTCAATGCACTGTTTAATTGGGCAACTATGTGGCAAATGAGGTTTAATGTTGATAAATGTAAGGTTCTACACTTGGGGGCTAAGAATATGCATGCATCATACATACTAGGGGGGGTACAACTAGGGGAATCAATGGTGGAGGAGGATCTGGGAGTTCTGGTAGATCACAAGCTTAATAATGGCATGCAATGCCAAGCTGCGGTTTCTAAAGCGAGCAAAATCCTCTCGTATTAAAGAAGAGGTATAGACTCCAGAGAGAGAGATCTCATACTACCCAGTACAAATCATTAGTAACACCTCATCTGGAATATGCAGTTCAATTTTGGGCACCAATTCACAAAAAGAACATTAGGGAACTGGAGAAAATACAGAGAAGGGCAACCAAACTGATACAAGGCATGGAGGAGCTCAGCTATGAGGAAAGATTAGAGGAACTAAATTATTCTCTCTTGAGAAGAGGAGATTAAGGGGGGATATGATCAACATGTATAAATACATCAGTGGTTCAAATAGTGAACTCAGTGTAGAGCTATTCACCCTGAGGTCATCACAGAGGACAAGGGGGCACTCTTTATGCCTGGAGGAAAAGAAAAAGAAATGTAATCTCCAAACACGGAAAGGTTTCTTCACAGTGAGAGCTTTGAAAATGTGGAATAGACTCCCTCAAGAGTTGGTTCTGGGCAACTCAGTGGACTTTTTATTTATAGCGTATGTACTCTCCAGCGCCTCAGGATATGCACAGCCAAAAGGGAAGCCAAGGGTACCAGGATAGCGACAACCAAAAGGAAATGTTCCAGGGGTGCAGCCCTCCTCAGACGGGGAAATCAGCCACTGGATAGAGAGAAAACAGGTGGCGCACACACCTAGTGCATTATCCAAGGTTTATTGTAGGAATTAAATCATAAAAACATACTCACAGACGAAGCATGTATCTAAAAAGCATGGAAAATGACAATGGCCACAACGGCGGGCAAGGTGTTCTCACTGGCAGTGCGGTCAAATGGCTGACGCGTTTCGGGACAAATCCCTTTCCTCAGAGCTGATGACCAACCTCTGATGCTGATGCATGATGAATGGAAAGTAAAGTAAGAGCCCTGCTGTTGATGCCTCAACAGCAGGGCTCTTACTTTACTTTCCATTCATCGTGCATCAGCATCAGAGGTTGGTCATCAGCTCTGAGGAAAGGGATTCGTCCCCGAAACGCGTCAGCAATTTGACCGCACTGTCAGTGAGAACACCTTGCCCGCCGTTGTGGCCATTGTCATTTTCCATGCTTTTTAGATACATGCTTCGTCTGTGAGTATGTTTTTATGATTTAATTCCTACAATAAACCTTGGATAATGCACTAGGTGTGTGCGCCACCTGTTTTCTCTCTGACTTTTTTTTTATGATTGAACTGGATGGACTTTTGTCTTTTTTTCAGCCAGACGAACTACTGTATGTAACTGTTGCAGCCTACTTCCATCTCATACTCTGAGCTGAAACAAAATGGCCACCAAGCCTCCTTCTTTGAGAACAACTAAAGAAATTACCACTTTAGCTGCCCTCAACATAGGAGGCTCAGCAGCTGTTTTGTAGTAACCCATGTCCTGTAAGTAAGCTGGCCATAGGAATGTAAACATTAGGAGTATTTTGACCAGGCTTCATGGATGACAGAGAAGGCCTACAGTTTTGGTATTTGCATTAAAGAATATTTTTACAAAGAGCATAGTGTACTTTAAGCTACTGGAGCCACTTACCTGCATGGGACAATTTATGTAATAAATGAACGTAGCCTTTACTATTATTGTACATGTTCAAAAGAGACAGCATTATATGAGAAGAGAAGAGCTACTGAGCAATATCCTTACATAACGAATACATACAAAAGGAAAATGGAAGAATTTAATCCCACATACAGGATAAGAGAGGAGGTTCAGTACAGTATCCATATATGCAGAATACACACTCATACCTAAAATTATACAGTGCATATCAGATACTGAGAACCCATGCAGCCTCAAATTTTTACTGCCGTGTATGGGAGTAAAACTTTATAAACCTTTTTAGAACAGGAATCTTGAATTGTAGTAAATAAACTTTGTAGCTAAAATAAAATCCAGAAGAATCAGCACAAGGGACAATTTACAGTCAGTAGGACGTGTCCCTTGTGCTGAAGCCTCTTCTGTTAGTAGAAATCCTCCTCTGTCCATCACCCCTACCACCATATTTTTCCAGTGCGACAGGGTTTAATACAGCTAAAGGTGTGTACAAGTGAACATGGCTATGCCCACCCTTTCTGGGCAGCTCCACCACTCGCAGAAGCCATAATACAGCTTCTATGAATGAGGATGAGCAGATGATTGATAGGTCAGCACCTGCATTAAGGTGAATAAAAAATGTTACGTGCTGTACTGCCCCACTTCCTTAATACTTACCTAAGTCCTTAATCGATACTCACAGGGACTGAGCCAGCAGTGGGAATCATTGACTCCTGCTGCTGTCAATCAAATGCTGTGAGGAGGGAGTGGGGCGGACACTGTGTGTGTCTACAGATGTACACAGCCTGGCTCTGGATTGAGCCTGCACGTCTGCCCCCACAGCAAGCAGTTTGCCATTGCACAGAGCAGATAAGTATAACATGTTTATTATTTTTATTAAAAAAATGTTGACTTTAACCTGTTTATGGATTCAAAAGTGTCTTGTGGCTGATAAACACACCATAATATAACATTTTCATTGGTGAAATCATGTGGTAGTATGGAAACAATTCCTTAATTAGAGTCAGAACTGGACCTCCAAGGGCCACAGGCCCAATAGTGTTAGCTATTTCTGCAGTCTTGCTGCTACATCAGAGATGTTTGTAGGACTCAGATTTACTCACATTTCCGTTTTTCATCTCCTCATAGCTGGAGAGGGAGCATGAAGAGAAAGGAGCAGGAGAGCCCAACGTCCTAGTTGAAAGAAAAAAAGGAATTATTAGATATTGAAATGATCAGAATTAATAAAGCCTTTTTTTTTGTATAATTAGATGCTGATAGCAGGACTTACATCCTCTTGCTGTGTTTTTTTCTCCTCTGGTCTTGCTACTCATACTGTCCCCTGGCCACAATACATGACCAGGGGTGGACTGACAACTCATGGGGCCCCCGGGCAATAGGGGATCATGGGGCCCCTGTGTCCTTGTCCAAACTCGAAAAAGCCTATGAAAAAGGTACCAGGGGGATCTCATGGGGCCCCCTACTGACCCCGGGCCCTCGGGCAGTGCCCG